CCTCGGCCCCGCAGGCCTGAAGCGCGTCCTCCTCCACGCCTACTCCCTCGCCTTCGTCCACCCGGCCCGGCAGACGCCCCTCACCCTCCTCGCCCCCCTCCCGCGGGACATGCTTTCCGTCGCCCAGTTCGTCCTCAGCAAAGGTCCCGGGCCTACGGGCAAACACGGTACGGCTCTTTTTCCGCCGGGAAGGGCTTGTTTTCTTTCTTTTTGTTGAGAATCTTCCTCGCGGCGTGGGGCTGTATGGATGCTTCTTCTGCGCACGTCGATAGGAAGAGGAGTTCTTTCCCTCTGGCGACCTGCATGGTGGGCACGCCGGGCTGAGGAGTGATGCCGTATTCACGACTCTGTCCTCCCCTTTTCTTTCCTCTTCTTCCATTCTCTTCCCAGAGGACAGTCGGAAGCTCCTGCGACTGCTTCGAGACGGTGAACCCCTGACGCCGGCTTTGGGTCATGACGTTGCGTCCCCGGTGCCGAGCACGGCAATAGCAAGCAATGCCCCTTCCATTGGGGCAACTGGAGGGGAGGCGGCAGAGGCGACGGATCTGGAGGAGGAAGAGTGGGACGAGGAAGACTAGAATGGAGTGGTTGCATGTGCGTGGAGAGAAGGCGTTTCTTACATTTTGACAACTGTAAAAAAATATTCGGCATAAGGAACACCTTCTCGCTAGATGGGAGATTTTGGCCATTTTCGTGCAATTTTTCCATTTGTTTTTAATTTTGTTCAATAATATGATGGTAAATATGGTAGCTGTGTCATTGTTTTTCCTCGACAACTCGAAGGGGGTGAGGAGGTACATGGGCCTGAAGAAGCGATGACGCACTCCGCTCCCTCCCACTTCAACAGAAAGCTGCCAGTGAACTCGAATATAATGTTAAGACATCGTCGCGTATGACCAAGAGAGTGGCAGACTCTCCTAGGTTGGCTGAGCAGGGACTGCAGGTGTTTTAAAGTGCCAGGACCATGGCCCTGATCTGCCGGCCCGTGAGGATCTCAGCGAGGCCTGTGGGCGAAGAAGCAGGAGCCCGAGGGGGGCAGAGAAAAGAGCCAAGAAAGCACCAAGTCCATGGACATTCTCGCATGCAGGCACAAGGGAGACTTTAAAAACCAGCTCTTTTCACGTGCACGCTTTCTATGTGGGTTGAAAAAATGATTTGCGTCTTTTTAAAAAAACGGAAAGGTCGGTCACTCCATCATTGCTTGCTCATTCGCTCCTATGCCTTGCTTCCTCCCACACTGACAACTAGCCACTGGTGAATTAAGAATGGCAGCAAACATCGATCCCGTGGCACAGTCATGCTTTGAAGAGGTGGTGGCTGCCCTGGATCTACCAAACGATGTCAAAACAAGGGCGACCGAGGTGAAGAAAAGGGCGTGCGGAAGTGTTCCAGGAGGAGGGTATTTTACTTCTTTGAGAAAGCTTCTATATAAACACAAAAACATGAAGCGTTGCTCACCAATTTCTTTCCTATCGCCTGTCTTATATCTTGTCTGGGATGTTTGGTGTTTTCATGCAGCACTTGACCGCCGTCTTGGCCCTGGGGATCCCCCCCGACGCGCATCGCCCCGGGCCGTGGGTGTGGGCGGCGTGCAGCATCTTTATGGCGCTTTACGAGCACAACATGCCGGGAGGAAGGACGCTGGGCGATGTGCTGAAGGTATGGATGGGCGTAAGGAGGAGCGTGCCAAAAGCGAGGATGGCGAGCTTGAAAGAGATGTGAAGAGGAAGAGGAGGAGGAGGGGAGGGTGGATTGGGGGGGAAATGGCGAGTCGACTGCACGATTGAAGGCCAGCGTTGG